ATACTGTAGCAGCCAGCTGAAATATAAACAAATCAGTGTCATGGACCGCTTAGGAATCACTGTATTATTTTTTCGTAAACCATAGCTCTGAGATGGTTTTTCGCTGGCAGATAGATTCTGCTTAGATCTCTGCTAACGTTTAAGGAGTTAGCAATTTACTTCCTATTTCTACTACAGTAACTCATACGTAACTTTACAGTGGCGAGCGATCGATATAACGAACCAAAGCCCGAGAACATCTGTTACACTTAATAACCCCATCCTTCACACAACTATTAGTGGCAATCAATCGATATATCGATTCGAATACCACAATCATTGCACTTACGCAAACTCGACATATCCCGTAAACAGCAATAAAGCGTCGTGCTTGCACTAGTGATAAGATCAATATCGATCCAGTTTTGGACTTCAAAATTTAATTGCGAACAGTCGATACATCAATTTAATTTCAACGCTAACATCAAGCGTCTAATTTGTAGTTCTCAACATTCTCAATACGATTTTGAGTTGTTAAACATTGATCCAAACTATCGATGATTAAAAGAAGCTGTAACTATCAACCCGATTTAATGTCAACAGCAGCTAACAGCGGCAATTTTCCCTTTATCACTATTAAACGACAGGTTAGTTATACATCAATGTACTCAACGGTCGGATTTCATCATAATTTTTCCCACTTAATCAATTAAGAATTCAGCAGCAAATTGGTGCTCATTTTTCGCATAAAGTGAAACGACAATCGATAAATCGATTTTTCTCTGACAAAAAGCGACTACGATAAACCGATCTATCAATTCAATTACGGAGTGTGCAAATTCAGCACCAAATTCTTCAAAAAACTAATCGGGTACAAGATATACGATCGATTAATATTTCAATTTGCTATGGGCGAAAAAGAAGACTGATAAACTTAGGGGTTTTCCTGCACTATACAACCTTTTTTTCAGGATTTGACAATTCAAATTAGCACAAAATGAAATGAATTGTTATCCTATACTTAGCTTCAGAAACTGAAAATTGTTAATGTGCTCCTACCGCAGTCGTCTTCTTTTCTGGCATTCGGCTCTTCTCTGCCTTTTTGGCCTCTTTCGCTTGGAGTTTCTCCCATTTTGCTGCCATTTTCGATGCGTGATCAGCCTAAAAGCACACGGTCAAGTTGTTCACCCGATTTTAAAATTGGAATAAATCAGTGCCATTTCAATACTTAGAAATTATGCACTTGAAATTTGCAAAACCACCTAAGATCAGAAAGCTTGAAGTATACCTTGATAGCAACATCCTCCTTCTCAATCTCGTGCTGTTGTTGCAATTCCAAAGCTCTTTCCTCTTCTAGCCTCTTTTGAGCTTCTTCTCGTTCTTCTAGAAAAATTAAAGTGTAGCTGATGTCAAGTTCTAAATATTCCAAGAAACAACTAACTCTTAAGCCGCTCAAATTCTTCCTGCATTTGCCGTCGTTTTTCTTCGGCCATATCCGCTTCGTCATCAATTCCTTGTTCAAAGCGCTGTTTGATGTTATGTGCCTGCTTTGCTGCTTGAGATTTTATTGCTTCCAGTTCAGCGCGTTGCTCTCTAAAACATATGAGATTTTAGAAATTTCAACAATTTTTCTTGAAGCGAGGATAAAACCCCCTATTCTAAAAAAAATCGTCATTATGCTGAGAAGAAAATACTATCCAAAATTTTAAAAGCAGTACTGATGACAACAGCGCAGCTATAAACTGCTACCCTTGACGTTAAAATATATGAATCTTACTCGCTAATGGCAGTGGTAGCTGAAGTTTCACCAATGTGCTTGAATTTATTCATCAAGTTCTTCACATCAAACGCATCCTCATCTTCAGGTTCTTCATCTGTATAAATAAATAAATAAATCGTCGGAATCGGTTGCAGTTAAGCAGTTCATATAAAAATTCCGCTCTTGATTTTTATCTTGGACATGTACTTAGCGATGGAGTAGTAGCATCAAGGGGTTTTAGGGAACAAAAAGAAATAACTGACATTAGGATATTATTGCTAGGTAACTTCAAAGAATTTTCTTTCAAAATAAAAATTAAATTTCCAAATTTTTGAATGGACTGTTGACTACGCTGACCTAAGTAGGTATGTGATCGGTTTTGGAAGCTTACAAGTGGATAAGGGGAGTTTGATTGTATCTACAATTCAATAGATTTGATAAAAGACTACTCAAAATTTTGGGATATAAATGTTTGAACGTTATTGTAATTATGGAAAAGGAATATATTTCCTTACTATCGTCGACGACTCTCCTGTTGATAACCTC